CAGTGTTCCCAAGAGTTTTTTTTGCAAACTCTCTGCGCTTTTCTTTAGTGGGGGCTTTTCCACATAGTTCATTCTCAAATTTTTTCTTTTGGCAACTCTCTACATCTAAAACTGTCCAAACTGGTTCTGGACAGATGATCTTCATGTCACCCAGTTGGCTCTGGGGCTTCTGGGATTGGATAAGTAGATTTGACAGATGATCTGCCAGTAGATAACCTCCTTTCCTTGCCATCCCCACAAATGTGGCCAACTCGCTGTCTGAAGCTGAAATTACGATGTCAACTTCCACTTTCTCATCACTGAATCTGTCAACTAGAGTTCCCAAATTCAGTTCTCGAAGTATGTCATCCATAAATTTAATAGATAAAAATGACCTGTAAGGTTACGGTTTATACGAAGGCGAGAAGAAATTGTTCTTGGCGCGTTATCGGTGTGTACGTCATGTATCGTACATGTTCACCGACCGTAGCCGCACGCTGACCACGAGATCAATCGAAACGCTGGGCTCTGGGGACCAGTCTCATGAATACGATGTGAGCATGTGCTTTGGAGTAGTTTAGATGACCAGATATACTGGCTCAGCGACTACCATATTGTAAATGCACCGAATATAATGCTGTATGAACCGAATCGCTGAGCACCGTTTAGCAAGTTGTTTGCACCGAGTAGCAAGATGTTCGCACCAAACCAGATGCTAAACTGACCACAAATCAGGTGCAAACTGACTAAGTAAAAAGCACAGAGCATGGCAAACTATTCACTGAAGATCAAGAAAGCTGCACCGCTAAAATTGATCCAAGCACCGTGTAAAAAGCGGTTAGCAGTGATTATAATGGCATTCACATCAGGTATAATGTGGAAAGTACCGAATACCTTGGATAAAGAGCCGAGTATAAGGTGACTGGCACCGATTATAGCAACCAGAGCACCGAATATCATGATACAAGCACCGAAAATGATAAGAAAAGCACCACGGATAAGAAAACAAAATATCATAAGACAGTTATGGCGTTCCATAGTTTAGGAAAGAGTAGGTAGGTCGGTATTGAGCTGGCTGGTGACTGGTGGCTATATGAGAATGTAGGTAGGTGGGTATGGAGGTGGCTGGTGGTTGGTGGCTATATAAGAACGTAGGTAGGTGGGTATGAAGGTGGCAGGTGACTATACGAGAATGTAGGTAGGTGGGTTTGGAGGTGGCTGGTGGCTGGTGGCTATATGAGAATGTAGGTAGGCGTTTAAAATGATAAGGAAGGTAGATGAATAGAAAGGCCGGTTGGTGAGCAGTTGTGCATCCAGTTAGGTAAGACAACAAAGTAGTGAGAAAGAAAGTTAAATGGGGCATAAGAAGGAATGCAAGTGGTTAGGTAAGGGGGTCGCCAGAGATGTTGGTTGTTGGTGGATTGAAGAGAAAGGTCAGTAGCCGTTTACGGAGTGAGAGGGGGGGTAGCAATCATGAGGATGGGGAAAAATATGTAGTCTTAAAGCATTATTTTGGTATATTGGTTGCCTTTTCTCTTACCAAGATCTTACCGTGCAACTTTATCCGCTTGGCCGTGAAAGGTCTGGGTACGAGACCATCGGATTTCCTTAGTTTACTTTGAGAATTGCCGGAACCATAACTAGTTGAGTCATAGCACTCTTTGTTTGTTTGTCTCTGTCTTGCTTTGTTTTGTTCGTTATTAGTAAACATTGCCGCGGTTCGATCAGCATCACAGTCCACCAAGGACGCGAATGGTTCTCCAGAGCGTGCAGTGGATAGAAATCTCGACAGTCGCTATGATGGGTTAAGTTGTACTCATACATTACAAGAAAATGGTCCCTGGTGGCGAGTGGATCTGGGATCAAGTCAGCCTGTGTCAGAGGTGTTCGTAGTTAACAGGGTAGACGAGTGTTGTATGAATAGGCTCTACAACATAGGGATCCATGTGGGTAAGCTGAGTGCTCACGTTGGATAAAATAAGTTTTTCTTATTCCTTAAGTTTAGTTCCAAGTCTCTCGTACGATATAAACTTTAGTTTGCCATTTTGAAAAGCTATGGTCTCAACCTTAATGTATCAGAGCCCCTCAAGAATATCCAAGTTCTTGACTGCAACGAAAAACGCAGGGCTCTCACTTAAGGTTTTCCCCCTTAGGAGACGGTTTGGAGGATAATGGCAACTCAAATCCAAGGTGTGGTGGATTATACTCGATGGCCACTTTGCACAAAGCTTCGTTTTATTGCAAACCGAGGAAAACAGGACGATATCTAAATATTAGACTTGACGGAAATGGAATGATCCTAACATTATGTGAGGTAGAGGTTTATTCTGAAAGTAGAGGTAAGGTATAAACGAGGTCGATTTCGTTCTTTTTTCTACTTCATTCATTCCTTTATTCATTCTTTCATTCAAGAGAGAGGGGGAGAAGAGGGGAATTCACATTTTTTGTCCTTTGCTAGTGACAAGACGGATTTCATGTTTCTTTAACATCTCTTTCATTCTAGCTCTTCTGAAGAACAAGCCAGTGCAGCAGACAGTAAAGGACGCTTATGATAAAAGTTCCATAACTTTGGTCTGTCCAGAGCCTTTCGGCTACCCTGAACCGTTTGTAGCCTGGGTCAGAGATGGCGTCGTTCTTCAAAACAACACCTCCGACCTGACACTGAATCTGTCAATCATTGCACC